AGACTATTTTCTGAAGTAAACACTGATTTTGTGCAATTTAAAGCAGATGTTGCATGCTTTACAACTGGGAACATACAGTATACACAAAGACTACAGTGGAAATCCCATCCTTTGCTATTCAATTAGCTTACATTTATCTTATGTTTAGGCATGTTGTCTTAAAGGTAAGTCTTTTAGTTTTTTTATCTGTCTGAAGCAGTATGTTCCCAAAATTGGTGTCAGAGTAACATTGAATCCTGCCTTCACTGTTGCCATGTTTCGAAGTGCCTCAAACTTTTAAAGTCTGTTCTAGTATTTTATCATGAAGAAATAAACTTATTTGACACCTCTGATTTCCTGCTTTACAGTAGCTGTGTGCTTCTCTGTCTTGTTATATGAATATCAAATGTGTGGTTTTGAAACAGCAAAATTAAAAGCTATTTAAGTCTAATTCAAAGGTAGAGCCTTAAAAGAAAGTTTTATTGTTACAAAAGATACAGCTGTTGTTATACAAAGAGAGTTTTATATTTTGTTACAAGAAAAGGATCCAATCTAACCGTAATCAAGACAAAATACTTTTGCATATATGTCTGACAATTTGTAAATGACTGTATACAAACTGGTTCCGTTTTATTCCATGCTTGGGATATGACACGGAGAAATCCTTCTGTTACTAACCACAGTAAGTTTATCTTAAGTCTGTTTAATCTCAAAGGAAAGTGCATGGGGCAATAAATCTGTAAGGAGGAGAACAGCATTTGCACATGAGAGCCTATAATAACCGGTGGTTATAAAAGCGGTAAAATTTTTACAGCCCAAGAAATTGCACTGCATTTATCTTAAAAATTGAAAGATATAGTATAATGGGAAAGCACATTTGTCCAGAATTGGCTGCACCAATTAAAAACAAATAGATAAATAAATAAATAAAAGAAACATTATTACAGTGCTTATGTATGTGTCAAAAGATTGACTTGAGGAGACAAACACCCCTTGTTCTATCTATAAATGTCTGGATGGATAGATAGACTCATCTATTAATGTTTGGCTGATTATCACCAGCGTCAGACACTTAAAAAAAAAGCCTCTCGTGAGAGGACAACGGTTCTGCCTCCTGAGCCACGGTTGTACTTTTAGTAAACTGTAACCTGAAGAACTGGACCATCTTTTTTGGACTTGTCCCCACTCTCATTAACTCAGTCAGTGTTTACATTACTCCACACATTGACTGTGACTTTGTACTTTTACTTGTGAGAATGTACTATTTACCTTCACCAGTTATTCTTCTGTGAAAATTAATGAATATTTTGTCATCAACTTGATACTTTTGATAACTAAATTTCATATTCATAAATGTAGGTTTTCTCAAAAGCCAGTATTTGATATCTGCTGTCAATACATTCAAACAATTCAAAATTCTACGAACAAAAAAGCTTCCAAAAATGTACATCTATTGCTGTTTCTGCAGTTGTTATGATCTTATTTTTATTTTATTTTAGTTCTTTTTTTTATTTATCTCAACCCCTGGCTGTGTCCATTGTTTATACGTTTTTTTTCAATAATACATAAAACTATAAAAAAAAAAAAAACTTGTTCCACTATTATCGAGCAGTGCATTGTGGGATTTCAAAATGGCGTTCTTGCTGCGGGAGGTTGTTATAAGTTATGTAGTCGTCCACTGTTCTTAATAGGCTGAGTAGTCATATTTTTAATAATACATTTGTATGATAATGTATAACATGAGGGGTTTGTGCTTGTGCGCCAGGGGAGCGTTCACGTTTAGTGGCCGTATCGGTGTCAACACCAGAAAAAACACCGGCCCGTATTTTTGTACAACTTTGCTTTCTGCTGTTTCAGATCCAGCAGGGATTCGTGTCAGGATGTACAGTAAGGTAACAGGTCGAGACGTCCCGGAACAGTTTGTGTGCTATCCCCTTCCCCACAGGTCCCTGTTAAAAATCCAGGGACAGGACACAAGTCCGTTTCTTCAGGGGATTATAACCAATGACATGAAGCTGCTGGAGGAGCCTGGACTCAGAGCCATGTACTCACATATGTTAAATGTACAAGGAAGAACACTATATGACATCATGTTGTACAGGTAATATACCCGTTAATCGATTGTTAGCAGTAATCGTGTGGGTGTGGCTGCTCGCTTATCATTGCAAGTTGCTGGCAAGTTAGCCAAGGGCTGGAAGTGAGGGCGATTTGGCGAACTCCAGACTCACTCAGATCCTTAGGAGGACTGAATGTTTACCTTACACACTGATTGGTGCCATTGTAATGAGATAATCATGTTATTCACTTTACCTGTCAGTGGTCATGATGTCATGGCTAATCAGTGTATTTTAAACAGCCTGCCAATACTACAGCCAGCTAAGGACTGTTGGATTGATATCCTCCCACTCTTCTGACAGCTTACTTTTTAATAATTATTAGGACACAGGTTCATATTATTTCCCATCATAACTCTGCCCCTTTTCAACTTGAGCACAGGTCTGTATCATTCACTAATATGTCAGATTTTGCCAGTGGCACAGAGTTTTCCCAGAAGGGCAAATGGAAATAGCCCTCTGGGATATAAAGTCAAATCTTAAATGAAATAGAGCATTCAGGTTGAGGATGAAATTACTAAATTGTTACTGAAATGAAATGATTGTAGATTGACATCTCAACTTGCTGTATTTCCCTTCAGTCTTAAAGAAGCTGATGCAGGATGCAGTGTTTTCCTGGAGTGTGACAGCACAATTAAGGACTCAGTCTTGAAACATTTGAAGATGTACAAGATCCGCAGAAAGGTCAACATTAACCCCTGTCCAGAGCTTTCTGTATGGGCAGTGCTCCTCAAGCGAAAAAATGCAAGTCAAGGAGAACCCGGTAAATCTGAGCTTTCTTCCCCTGAAAAAACTCTGGTATGGGAGGCTGATCCTCGAACTCAGGAAATGGGCTGGAGATTGGTGTTGGACAGTCACGTTGACCCCTTGGAAATCATTACATCGTGTCAGAAAGGTGACACAAAGGAGTATCACAGACATCGCTATGCAATAGGTAAGATCATTCAGTAATAGAGTACATAGTTTGTATTACAAGATAAACGGAGTGAGGAATATGGGACTTGTATTAACATTTGCTCTTGAAATTTTTGTGACAAGTTTTGTTTCCTCTGCTGTCATTGCTGTCTAGGACTTCCTGAGGGAGTGCAGGACCTTCCTCCTGGAGTGGCACTACCACTAGAGTCAAATCTTGACTACATGCAGGGCATAAGCTTTAGCAAGGGCTGTTACATTGGGCAGGAGCTCACAGCCAGGACTCATCACACTGGGGTGATTCGGAAACGCCTGATGCCGATACGCTTGTCATCTCCAGTCCAAGACCTTGAGGAAGGTGCCACACTGCAAACACAATCGGGCAAGCCAGCTGGGAAGTACCGAGCAGGGGTAGGAGAGCTGGGTCTGAGCCTAATCCGCATGGCTCATGCCAAAGAGGTGTTGATGCTCAAATCTTCTAACAATACAACTGTGACACTCGAGGCCTCTGTGCCAGAATGGTGGCCTAAAGACAACTCAGTCAGCTGAAGAGGAGGATGTTTTACAGCTCCAAAAAATGTGACATATATCACATCTGACAGACTTCTCATAAACAGAACCCTTAAGGACAATATATGTTGTCATTACCTTAACACCTGTATGGCATTATTTGTGAGCATTTTTGTTTTGTTTGCAATTAACATACTTTTAAAGGGATTTTTTTCTAATTGTAAAGTATTATGCTCCACAGAATTATGTTTTTTTTTTTTAATCAGATCTATTGTAGCTCTATGTAACAGGATATACCAGCTGTACTGTGGTATTGGTTGTTGTTGTTGAATAACCATGCAAAAACTCAGTTGACTTGCTTATTATTTATCCGTTTAATTTTTCAGTGCAAAAACAAATTCCAAACACTCACATGCAATATTTGAGACTGCATAATTTCTAATTAAACTGGAACCACACTATCCTATTCTTTTTTTTGCACCATACAAAGTAGAATTTTCCATTCAAGCTCCTTCCAGATGATGCTTATGTGGATGAGACTCTGCTGCCCATCTTATTCCTGATAAAGGAGATGCTGCCCTCTGGTGGATTGTATGGTGTCCCGAATTTGCTGTAACATAGCTTCTGGCTGCAAAGTCAATGCTGAATGATCGAGCCTCTTATAGTCTTCATTGCAGAGTAGACATTCAATTATGTGAGCCACTCTCTGTAGGTCAAATGCAGCATGGTAAGGTCCAAGTGTGGCGAGTGTCTCCGAGAGATGTTGTGGGTAATCGTAAGAATCCCCAGTGGAGCAAGCATTCAACAAAGCCATTCGGTTGTCAGCAATGATTTTCAGGAATGAGGCAAATTCCCCATAGTCAATTCCAGAGCAGGCTTTCATGATGACCTGCAAATAGAAAAACAACGCGCACACAATTACCTTACACACTCATCCTTATATTGTATACTATGCATTCAGGGCAGCAGCATTTTTTTTTGGACAACATGCAGATGAAACAGTGCCTGGCAATGTTGATGCCATGAATCCATTGTGTTCCTCCACTCATCTATCTCTTTTTGAACAGATGACAGCTCATTCTGAAGGAACTGCCACATGATGTCGATGTTGCAGCCATTCAACCAGTTGTGATTAATAGAGATGGTGTCCTCCTGTATGAAATATTTTAAAGTCAGGATCATGAACTGTTGATGCCAATAATGCTCACACTTTTATGCATGCGTAATAAAGAAGAATTTCTACAGTACAGTATGTCACTATTACCATAAATATGTAACATAAAATTTTTACTCTAGCTGTTCTCCTCAGATGACCTTACCAGATTATAGACTTGATGGTGCCAGCCACTGGGTACAAAAATGATTTCACCTGCCTCTTGAATAATCTCAAGAGGTTGACAGGCTTCTTCATAGTTTGGAAAAAGGCCTCTGTCTCGAAGTTCAGATGATGTAACATCATAAGGGAGATTGCCGTGAGTGTCTCGTAAAAACTCCTCCTGGCCTGGGGGATACAGGAGCCATTTCTTCCTGCCACAGATGTTTGCTGACCAGCTGTAGGAGCGGAACACATCAGCGTGGAATGGGGTCCTAGTGATGAGAAAGTTATTCTGACTGTATGAAAACTAAGATATAATCTGGCTTTTACCACATCATGTTCAACTTTTCATACCATGAGCCTTTAGGTCCCATGTAGACAAACCGGTAGTCATCCACTTCAAGTGTATCCCAGTATTCATTAAGCCAATCAGAAGAAAAGAAGACTGGTGTAGTGTAAACATTATGTTCTGGAAAGTCCCTGGAGAATAATTATATAAACTTTATAATGAGTGGTTACACATTGCGCCTGTGAAACGAGGTTTTGTTCAATAAGTATTCATTTGATACCTTGACATGTGCCAGTCTTTAAGATAGAGACATCCTTTAGGTGATGAGTGGCCATTCTGGATGTATTCCTTCCAGTAGTGTATAAATTCTTTGAAAGGCATAACTTGTTTAGGGTTTGCATTATATTCCTTTGCATTGCAGTTTGCAACAGGAACAGGAGTCTCAGCTATGACAAAGAACAAATACATTAGCTTACAAGACAACAGTCACTGTAGCAGCTGCATAGTACTGCGTGGTAGATAGTTAACGCACTAATAATAGGCTTATTTACCAAACTCTTGCAGCAGTTTCTGGAAATTAGGCCTCCCCTCCTCAGTCACCCACTGTTTTCTACACTTCCACTCCTCTGTAAACCTTCTTGAAAACATACATGGATAATTGGGAAGCAAGTATTTTTTGAAAAACTTAGAATAGTTAAGCTCCTTGTCGATGTAATCTACAAAATGTGAAGACCAAAATTGTTCGTACGACTGTCGTGGTATTTTGACCAGGCTGCAGCAGTTACGGTACGCCTCTCTGTCCATGATGGTAAACAAAACATCGGCTAGCCAGTTAGCAAGCCTAGCTGTCCACGTTTGGACGGCAAAAAACGTTAAAGAACTGACGTTAAGGAAATTGTCATTACATAGCGACCATCTTTTCTCTTTTGCTGTCAACCTTCAAACCAGAGTCGACTGGAAAACTAGCATTATGCTAAAACCTGTCAATTCTATTTTGACAGCTAGGTTAATCCCAACCAATGTATTGCCCTCTCTCTGTCACGGAACACCAGATTATGGTTCCTAAACGACGCGCATATACTGCCGTTGCTATTTACTGTTATTCACCACTGGATATATTAACGATTTAATTTATTGCTAATACTGCAGACTATCTTATTCAGAAACCATCTTAGCTAACAAAAGATATTTTTCCAAAACCTTGTCATGATAGTTTTTTCTGAGAGCACAATTTTCAAGTCGGATGGTAAATACAGCAGTGCTATCTGGTGACGTCACTTCCGCAATAGACATCGTTACTGAGAAGAATATGGGGTAATGTACAACATACTGTCGATTGATGTGGTGTGGGACTGATACAGTTTTATCAGAGGAAGTAACAAATGCTAAAAGGGTCCATAACATTATAATGGCGCGATTGTAATGCGATCAGTTGAATAGAAAGCTGAAACTATATATAAACGCATCAGCTGAGCTCATCTGCTGCCAAGATCCCTTACTGCACTCAGAAGAAAGTAAGTTCTCTGTTAGGACGGATACATCACTCAATACAAGGGCATTTATCATGTAATGGTAGAGTAAAGTTGCAACAGTGTGTGCATATGCATGGTACATATGTAATACTGAAGCTTATTTGTCTTTCTTCCAGGGGATTCAGTGCACTTTCCTCCAGAATGAGCCGGGACATTCCTATCCACAGCTGGCCAGGCTCGTATTACATCAACAGTGAGAAGCGGTGGGAAAATGGCACTCTCTCCCTCACCAGGACCATGGTGCGCTTTGTCTCTAATCAGAGTAAGGAAAGTCTTGTCAGCTTCCGCCTCTCCCGGATCATGGAGCTCAAGATGGAATCATCCAGTTTCATTTTCAGCACCCTAACAGTGCTTGAAGAAGGCAATGTGAAACACTGGTTTGGGTCCCTGAAGCCCAACAGAGTGGTGGTTTATAATGTGTTGGAACATTTCTGGAGAGAGCGCCTCCTGTCTCCCAGCTCAGAGGCCCCAGGAGCGGAGTCTCAGCCCTCTAAAGGCAGAAAACTGATAAACCTGGTGGCAGGGGACCAAAGAAGACTGGAGGACACTGGTAGAGTCCTCGGCCACCAAGGAGAGCAGTTTGATAACATGATGCAGGGACTGGAGAAGATGAACTCTGACCTGGGCATGGCTGATAAGTAAATGTCAAACTGTTTCCTGACTGGATGACTTTTACTGCACTATTTATTTTAAAATGTTATACTCTATGGATGCCGTGTTATAACTGGCTTACAATAAAAACAGCTTTATTTACAGTTGACAGTTCTCCTTGTCCCTGTCTTTTTTTCTGTCCTAGGCTTTTGTCAGAGCTGGAGTGTCCCTCCTGGTGGCCTTTTGGCAAACTCCCCTGGCAAACTCCGCAGGAAGCC